CTTTGAGACTATAGTTAATGGATACTGTTAAATCATAATTCTAATTATATAGACTAAGATTCCATACCCAAAAAATTTTCAAATTCCTTTTCGATTTTGGAGTTCTCAACAAAAAATACCTACCCCTCTCTTAGAATCGAAATTCATAAAAAAATTTAGATTTGATTGTATAGTGTATACCCGTTATGTACACAGAATTGGCAGTTATTCTATTTTCATCATAGAATGATTATTCAATCTTTTTTGTTCTTTTTAATTTGTATCATGATTCAATCAAAATTTCTCGAGTTCTTCTTATTTGTAGCCTCACCGAAATTGGAATAGTTCCTAAACTACTACATTAGTATGAAATCAAAATCGCCTTGAAATATTTCTTATTTCTTATCGATTCCTGTCAAAAAGGAACAATTGGAATAGAGGATTCATATCTTTTTTTTTTAAAAAGAACTTTTTATGTTATTTCGTACTATACAATTCTTTTCTTTCTGGGATCTTTTTCCCACGAGAGGTAATGAGAAGAATTATAGAATAGATTGCTACCTATGCCTAGATCACGGATAAATGGAAATTTTATTGATCAAACCTTTTCAATTGTAGCTAATATCTTATTATAAGTAATTCCAACAACTTCAGGAGAAAAAGAGGCATTTACCTATTACAGAGATGGTGCGATTTGATTTTTTTATTTCATATATTATTCATTTTTCTTAGTTTGACGAGGAGAAAAACACGTGATTCGAGAAAATTTTTGAAAATAAATCTATGCTTTTTGAAGGTGAAGTTTGGAAATAGAACAATTCCTTCTGTCGTGTATACTCAATTAATGCAACCTCATATGCTATGTTTCAATTCTCGATTCTAGTATTAAGAGAAAGGTTACACCTAGAGGTTCTGTATTACGGGTCAATCCTACTCTACTATCCCTAATAGGCAGCATAGGGGAAGAAGCGCTACACCTAGGAATCAACAACATGAAAACTTTGTTCTAAGTCAGCCCTTTCCTTAGGGGGATTGGGACTAAAAGAATGGTTGGGACGACAAACATCCATCTCGTTCGTCCTTTGGATACTCGTATAACCATCGAAGGCTATTGAAGTGACTAATTCCTGGAAATTAGGAGGCGTTAAAAACAAAGAAATTGTTGGAGTTATCTTATCATTTCTATCAAGTCCCACTAGGTGTGATGTTAAGAAAGAATCTCTTGCAGGAAGGTTGGCTAGAGATTTCTTGTAAAAATACTAGCCCTGTTGAGCTCATAAAGAGAATATTTTCATCGTTGAATCTTTTTTGATTATATGTATTATTCTCATTATTCACATAAGGGAGGATCCGTATGAGGTGAAAATCTCACGTACGGTTCTGGAACAGAGATTCTTTCAATTGAATGAAGACCGTAACGGATGTCGGCTCAATCTGAAGGAAATTATGCGGAAGCTTTGCAGAATTATTATGCAGCTATGCGACTAGAAATTGATCCCTATGATCGAAGTTATATACTCTATGATATAGGGCTTATCAACACATGTAATGGAGAGCATACAAAAGCTTTGGAATATTATTTTTGAGCACTAGAAAGAAACCTATTCTTATCACAAGCTTTTAATAATATGGCCATGATCTTTCATTACGTGCGACTATCTCCACTATAGAAATAAAAAAAAAGAAAAATCTAGTAAAGTAACTACTAGAACCAAATAGGCTTTCTACATATGATCGTCTAAAACAACAATTTTTATCAGCTGTAGCAAAAAGAAACTTCATAGAAGGCAAAATAGGAAAAAAAAATGCCTAGCAACTTTTTTCTATGGATAGGATATAAGGCTTTAATTGATAGAGATAGAGGAAGCACCGTAAAGATCAATTAGCAAGGTTTTGGGATGATACAATAACAACTGCGTGCTTATCTCATGATGTGAGATAAAAATTAGGAATTAACTTATGTAATAGAGTCGATCCACTAAAGTCTTGAGCAGCGGTGTAGAATCAGGTCCCAAAGATTGTAAGTATTTTCTTTCTTATGAAAGAAAGTCTTTTTCAAAGAGTCTATATAAATTTATCTATGAAACCGAGATAGTTACCTTTCATAAAATTCTAACACTAGTAGAAATGCCTATGCTCTATTCTTCTAAATCTGGGAAAAAAGATAAAACTAAATTAATGGATTATTCATCCAAATTTCAGTTTGAAACTCATGTAATTAACCTATTTTTCTTTTGGTTAACGCTAAAACTGGGATAGATCCATGAGAAATCTCATTAGATTTTATTAGATATGGTATAGATCAAAATGGGACACCAAAAGAATTAACTGTTGAGCTGTATGAGGTAAGAAATTCTCAATTACGGTTCTAAGGGAAGGAATTGAACTACCCATTCCGGACAGGGAGAACAGGCCATTCAACAAGGAGATTCTGAAATTGCAAAGGCTTGATTCGATCAAGCCGCTGAGTATTGGAAACAGGCTATAGCGCTTACTCCCAGTAATTATATTGAAGTGCATAATTGGATGAAGATCATGAGACATTTCGAATAAAAGAAGACCCTGTTTATTTATTATCATTTATTTAGAATCTTAGTCTATTATTTTATTAGAATTTAGATATTTGTTATAATTAATTATTTGTTGGACCAATCAGATCAGTTAACTAAAAAATGGATCATTCCTTTGCTTTTGGAAGACCCAATCACATAATTTTACTATCCCCCTTCTAAGCATTCTATTTCACTTCTATTTCATCTGCTATTTTTTAGGAATAAAAAAGGATACACAGATAGAGTACAAAATAGACTTCTTTTTATTATATTTATATATTAAATTAAACAAAATTCTTATTATTAAAACNCTTTTTATTATATTTATATATTAAATTAAACAAAATTCTTATTATTAAAACTAATAAAATAAACCCTCAAATCACTAAATATATATATACCGGGGACGTCTCTTAGTAATGTATAATGGCTACTCGTGTGATTTGGAATAGAGTAATTAAAATCTTCTAGGTAAAAAATAAAGAGCTCCATCTAATAACTTCTATGAATATACAGTAGGTTGCACAAAAAAGTCGTGTTTGGATCAATCCAAAGCCCAAAAAGGGTTTTAAAAGGTTAAAAGGTCCGTTGAGTGCCTCAAGGCTATGTCATAGTAGATTCTAACACTTTCCTCGGATCAACTTCCTGATCATAATTTCTCTAGTAAATAACTAAAGAAAATAGATAGATGGGAGATAGAAAAATCAAAGAGAAATGAACTAATTATAGAAATATCTCTCTATCTCTAAGGTTCACTAATTATTTGACTGTTGGCAGGTCTCTTTGTATGTGTTGTCCGAAAATAGGAGGACTCAATTATTATCCGTTCGTCGGAACCAGAAGTTAAAATTTTGGTAGATAGGGTTCCCGATAAAACTTCTTTCAAGGAATGGGCCAGACCGGTTCATTTCTCAAGAACAATAGCTAAAGGGCCTGATACTACCACTTGGATCTGGAACCTACATGATAATGCTCACGATTTTGATAGTCATACCAGTGATTTGGAGGAGCGAAAAGTATTTAGTGCACATTTCGGTCAACTCTCCATCATCTTTCTTTGGCTGAGCGACATGTATTTCCACGGTTCTCGTTTTTATAATTATGAAGCGTAGCTAAGTGATCCAACTCACATTGGGCCTAGTTCCCAGGTGGTTTGGCCAATAGTAGGCCAAGAGATATTAAGTGGTGACGTAGGCGGGGGTTTCCGGGGAATACAAATGACCTCTGGTTTTTTTCAGATTTGGCGAGCATTTGGAATAACTAGTGAATTACAACTCTATTGTACAACAATTGGGGCATTGTTCTTTGCAGCGTTAATGCTTTTTTCTGTTTGTTTTTATTATCATAAAGCGGCGCCAAAATTGGCTTGGTTTCAAGATGTAGAATCTATGCTGAATCACCATTTGGCAGGGCTACTAGGACTTGGGTCTCTCTCTTG